TGAAAATGCTCTTTCGCGATGCTACCGGTTATTCTGCTGCTTAAAACTATCAAAATTGCTGTTTAGAAAATTAATCCGATTTTTAGCTCTTGTAACTCTGGTACTAAGGGTTTGAATTAATATACAATAGGGCTTATAAATTCGGTAGCCGTATGAAATCAACCTCTGGCATGCAAACAGAGATTTGTTTCAAACGAGAACCTCTGAAAAAGACGTTAAGCTTTTGCTGTTGCATTTTATCCAATTGAAACATTTTTATATTATCATGATTGTTTCTTGAAGATCTCAGGCCTTAAAAGAGCTGCCAATTTTTAAATTTTGCAGCAGGTATAATCATTCTAAATCGAACAAACTTATATTGAAAATATTAGAACAAACATCGAGGGGTTATGAAATGCAGTGTGCAGTTAAATAGTATCTCGAACGGCTACAACGAAGATGCTCCCAGGAAAATTAACATTTCGAGATGGGAAATTTAAAGTCTTGAAATATCTCACCATTAAACTATAAGGTGATGGAATTTGCAGGTCCCCACCAGCTCGGATATAGCGAGTAAACGTAGTTCTTCCGCGTTATAAAGCGACCAGACACTCTAATTGGTTTAAAGGTGTTTGAAGTTGAAATGACCAGTTGCCGTTTTTAGATGTAAGTGAACTCGAGTGACCGTCGCTTCTTTTACTTGTTTTACTTTAATGTTTTATGCCTGTTCTTGTTTTCCGTAACAAGAGAATGGAGCAGAACGCCATTTTTCTTGCTTTTCTATTCTGCGGAGCAATAGGTATGTCTTTAATACGTTATAATTAGAGGAAAGGTGGTATTTTCAGTTTGTAGTGCCTTCCTCGCATCACTTTTACTTGTCTGTCAGGTTACGGATATTATTTCTAAGTGGTGGGTGTTTCTTTTGAGTGTTTGTTAGGAGAAAAACGTTTAATACGATTGAAGTCATACCCAGTTCCTAGCTACGGGTATTCAAGTTCGCCTATGTTGTTCGAGTTTATTTTTTTAATTAAATTCATTTTGACTCAGGCAAAGAAGAAAATAAAAATGCTTGTGAAAGGCCAAACAACCAGGTAAACAATAACCGCGCTTAAATGGCTCTATTTTGACCAGTGATAATTGTTATAAAAGTACGGAATTGAATGCTTGCGAGTTAACAAGAGCGGAAATTGCATGGTAAGAACTTGATCCTGAATGACAAGGCAATTTAAGGGAGAATCACTTTGCAACGTTAGGGCTTCAGAACAGTATAGCTCGTATTATGGAGAGCATCGGAGTAGGGTGAAAGCTAGTTTAATAATATCCACGCTGGAGCGTTTTTATGTTTTCTTCCAAGTTTATGGTTCATTTTTCCCCATCAAGACAC